CGGGGAGATCCGCCGTGTATGATGGGCTTCCCTTTGTGGGTAACTCGACCTTTCCCTCTGGCTGCCCTTAGCATTTTCTCCTTCATTTCAACCCTGGTGAATCTGATGGTTGTGTGCCTTGGGGTTGCTCTTCTTGAGGAATATCTTTGTCATGTTCTCTATATTTCCTGGACTTGAATATTGGCCTGCCTTGCTAGGTTGGGGAAGTTTTCCGGGATAATATCCTGAAGAGTGTTTTCCAGCTTGGATTCATTCTCTCTGTCATATTCAGGTACACCTGTCAAACCTAGATTAGGTCTTTTCACACATAATCCCATATTTCCTGGAGGCTTTGTTTGTTTCTTTTTACACTTTTTTTCTCTAATCTTGCCTTCTTGTTTTATTTCATTGAGATGGTCTTCAAATGATATCCTTTCTTCCGCTTGGTCAGTCCTGCTGCTGAAACGTGCGTATGCTTTGTGACGTTCTCGTGTTATTTTTTTCAGTTCCACTGATTCATTTATGTTCCCGTCTAAGCTGTTTATTCTCGTTAGCATTTCGTCAAACCTTTCTTTAAGGTTCTTAGTTTCTTTCCTTCAGAGCTGCTGGGCAGGTACGTTTAAGTCTGCTGCAGTAGAACTCATAACTGCCTTTTTTCCCACAGTTGCTCTGTCTCAGGAAGTTAGGGCTTTATTTCTAAGTTTGCCATGGTGCTGCCTTTTTTCAGGGATGCCCTTCCCAGCAAGGAGGCAGCCTAGTCAGTCTGCCAGCAGAGGCATTGTTGGTCTGCTGTGGGTTCTACCCAGTTGCTGTATGAACTTCCCTGCAGTCCTGTTTATAGGGGTATAGTTATAACTGCCTTGACAATGGCGGCCCGCCTCTGTAATGTCAGACTCTCTCTGTAATAATGGACTGCCTCGGCAACAGCAGGCTGCCTCTTTGATGGCGGACCACCTCGGTAGTGGTGGAGTACCTCGGAAATGGCGCCCAGATTTGTGTGAGTTCTTGTGCGAAGACCTGCTGTGCCGCCTGAAAAAGTCGCGCTGGGGGCTCATGGTGCTTTTTCGTCCAGGAATCTCCTGACCTGACTCTGTTTCAGTACCCTTTTTTTCAGTTGAATGGGTGACTCTGTCCCCTGGGCATTCCGGTTGCAAGTTGAATAGGCACCCGGATTTGTGTGAGATTTTGTGCAGAGACCCACTGTGCCGGCTGTGCTGGAGGTGCTTTTCTGCCTGGGAATCTCCTGGCCTGGCTCCCTGTTTCAGTCCCCTTTTTAATCAGTTGAACTGGTGACTCTGTCTTCCTGGCGCTACCGTCACCAGCTGAAATGGCCCCTGGACCTGTGTAAAATTTCTGAGCGTAGAGCCATCACACCAGTTGAAACAGCCATGGGAGACCTGTGGTGCTCCTCCACCTGGCAATCTCCTGGTGTGAGGGCAATAAAAATCTGTCTGGAAATGTGGTGACCACTCACCCTGTGCACACTCGCTGGGAGCTGCAATCCAGAGCTGCTCCTGCTTGGCCATCTTGGATCCCCTCTGACAACCTATTTTCGCAACTGCCTGCACATCTCATTGTGGCCCTCAGGACGTGGCTGGCTCCTGCGGTGGGCACAGTGCCTCATGTGAGGTTGTTTCTGTGGCCACGTGCATCCTCTTGCCACTTCACATATGGCAACTTCTGCCTCTGTGTCCTCAGATGCCACTCTCCAGAGTGAGAGACTGCCATTGACTGCCATTAACTCCCTGATTTAGAATATTTCATATGTCTTTGTGAATGAGGGTCCTTTATGCTGAATGTTATTTAAGCTGTAGGTTTAATTTTTGTTTTTGTACAGGATAGAAAACAGATGAACATATACATCGTCAGATGGTCTTTCTGTACAAATAACGCATAGTCCAGATGCTTATGGTCTGGAGTCGTTAGCATAACATATGCTTCCACTCAGAAATGGTAAGCGTGGCTCCATTCTGAAACAGCTCCTGCCTTAGCACTGACACGCTTGTCTTATGCTCAGTCTGATTTTGGCAGATCCACAGGTACCTTCATGCCAAAGGCTGTGTCCCAATGCTGCTGCTTGTGCCTGGCCCAGAGGAGAGGCTCTGAGTGGTGGTACTACTTCTGTCGTCATCAGGGCCACTGTCACCCCTCCACCCCTTCCTGCTCACCAGCAAGGGCCACTGACTCAGGGCCCCTGAGGACCATCGAGAACTACTGAATGCACCTCACCATGGTAGGCACCCTGCAGCCCAGTGGCCCTGAGGGCACCCTACCATGGAAGGCACTCTGCAGCCAAGCAGCACTGGCAAGCCATTGGAGGTCAGTGTTCAGATGCAGAAGTAGATGATACCTGGATCCGAACTCCTGCAGTCTCCGTTCAGGGAACGGCATGGGGCAGGACCCGAGGAGGCAAAGGCATCAGCACAGAGAGAGCAGGCAGAAGGAGAGGTGCAGGGAGCTCATCAGGTGAGTGGGGCAGAGATGAAGAGATGAGATGTGCACAACCAGGGAGAAGGATGAGATGGAAAGGGAGAGACAGATGCACACAGAGAGGCAAGGACACAGATGAAGAGACAAAGACAGAGGCAGAGAAACAGAGACCAGGACAGAGATAAAGAGACAGAGGAAGAGAGATACAGAGAAGATGAGAGCTAGAGAAGGAAGAAGAAATGATGGGACAGGGAAAAGGAGAATTCTAAGACAGGAGAGAACCTGCCACAAAATCAGAAGGTGGGATTGGGTTTGAGGGGCCAGGCCAGGGGCTGGAGGCATTTCAAGCCCTGCCCACACCCCTAATCCCGGGCACGCACCTCCCCGCTTCCACTGTGCCCCTGTCCTGTCACCAGACTTGTGGATGAAGCATTCATGAATGGAGAGGATGGACACACACTGTTCTATACTTTGAGTGCTTAGGATTAATTCCTGGACAAATTTGGGAGTTCTCATTCCAGCCATCCAGTCACAGGTGTGACAATTTCCACAAACTTTTAATCTCTTTTCAAAAAGAATCTAGAATCACCCCCAAATCCCAGACACTGAAAACCCCTGGCCATGAAGCAGTATGGACATTTGCTTTTCAAGGAGATTTTTGTTACAGAGAGAAAACCCTGCCCCTCGGGTGGCCGCTGAGCGCCCAGACCTGCCAGTGTTGCATGGGTCTGCACCATGTTTAGTCCACCATCTGGATGGTTAAGATCCTAAGGACAGCAGAGTTTCAATTCTGTAGTGTTAATTTACTTTGTTTTTCTGGGGCCTCAGAGAGTGAATTTAGAAACCCAATGCTATCATAGGGTACCAAGAGAATTTCAGTTGAGGTGAAAATAACTGCTTTTCCCCCGTCATGCAGAGATGAGAATAACAAGGAATACATTTTCTCCTGAAAAATGAGCTATTTGTTGACAGTGGCCTGTTCCCTTTGATGTGGAAACTATGGCTTTGGTCCACTCTCATTAGCCGACCCTATGGCTCCCTGGCCAGGAGTGCCCAGAGCCTGGAACAGGCACCATTTTCTCACAGCCCTCCTGTGATTTCCATGACAAAGTGGAACCACTGCTCTCAGCGGCTGGGGTTCCATCTGCCTGGGGCCCCCAAAGCCACTCGGTGTGGATCCAAGGGTGGGGGGGGCAAAGCACAGGTGTGGCTCGGGTCTCCCGTCTTCGTGCACTCTGTACCATCTGATGTCACCCCCTTGACCTCCAGTCCTTTGGGTTTTCAGGATGGGCCAGGGCCCAGTGCTTGGGTTTAGGATGGGTTGTGATCTGCTGGGCACATGGGAGGTCCCTGTCCTGCCTGGGCACTGGAGCCACAGCCTGCCCTCATGAGGCAGCTATCCCAGGATAGCTGTTTTGACGAGAATTACAGGGGCCGATTGGGCCTACCGTCTCCCTTCTCTCCCCAGATCCTGCTGGGTGGTCGGGAGCCCAGGATCCCATGGCACAAAAGGCTCCATGCAAGGGTCGGAGGTGATGCTCCCTGTCCTCCATGGGCTTCAGGCTTCCTACCTCTCTCCCTTACTCAGCCTCCTTTCTTCATGTCCTAGGGACAGCCCTGTGCACCTCCTGCCTGGTTTAACCACAGAAACGTCCTTACAGAGGGTCTCAGGGGCCTCACTGGTTAGGAGTTGGGGGTGGCATGGGCCCAGAGACCCCATTTGCATGGAATGCACTGCTTTCACCCCATTTGCAGATGACAGAGTAACTGGACGACCAGCGTGTCCAGAGGGCGTTTGGGGTCACTTTTAACTCAGACTTCCGGACCACATTGTAATTAGGTTTTTTATCAGGCTCGGGGGAAGTTCATGGCTCTTTTAGGGAAACTCATGCTGGCCCCACACCACCCCTATTTTCCAGACCAATGTGAGAGAAATGCCCTACAGTGGGGATGGCACTCTCAGGGTGTCACATCAACGTGGGGGAGGTCTTGGGGCATCAGAACGAGGTGGGGGAGGTCTTGGGGCATCAGACCAAGGTAGAGGCAGATCTCAGGCAGAGGGGCTCGGGAGCTCAGGGCGTGGCAGGGACTGCAGGAGCTGGGTGCCCATTCTGCACCTCCCTGCTCCTCTGCACAGAGCTCGGCTAAAGTGGCTCATCCCGAGACCTCCAAACAGAGGCTCTGAAAACTCCTTCCAAGAAGACAACGTCTTGGGGCAGTGGGGGAGTGTTCCATGCAGCTGACATGAAGGCCTGTGGCCATCCTGGGATGTTAGTAAGGTTTTGTTGGAAAGCGCAGCTGGGAGGGGAGGCCCTGGCTTTTCGTTGGCCTTTGGCCACCCTGACTGTCTGGCAGCCTCAGGCCAGGGCTGTTTGCCTCTGTAGTGGCAGCCTGGGGTGGCCAGGCCTTGCTCACTTGGGGTGCCTTGGGCTCAGGGTGTGGGACTGAACACACAGAACGGCTGTGGAGTCCACAGCTCAGGCACAGGGCCCTGACTGCATGCGCCCTTGATCTCTGACCTTGCCAGAAGTGGGACTCAGGGAACCGGGGGGGCTGAGCGCTCATCCTCAAGAGGAAGCTGTGGGCCTCACCTGGCGATCTTGTCAGTGCAGGACATGGTGACCAGCTGCTCCCCCAGCAGGACGCCGTCCCAGGTCTGCACTGTGCTGGAACCGCGCACGGGGACTGTCCCTTCCCCAGACTCGATCTTGGTGCGCAGGTGCCCGCGGAACTTCCTGACCAGGTGTTTGCTGCTGTGCACTAGGAGAGAAGAGGGTGGAGAAGTGAGAAGAGGGAAGCTGCCTTGGTTTTGGGGGGTGGGAGGGGAGGAAGGGCTGCAATAGAGGTCAAAGGGCCCCATGCCATGGCTGGGCATGTGGCATGGGGAAGGGGCTTCAGAAGCAAGTGCTGTGTGGGGGTAGGCTCCAGAGCCACAGCATCTGGCCTGGGCTGGGAGTAAAACCCCTGGCTTCATGGGCCAAAGTCTCTTCTCACCCACCTCTGCTGTGTAAGCACGGCTGCAGCCTAAACCATGCTCAGGTGAGCATGGGCCGCTACCTCCCCAGGTACTTCATTACAGACACAGACTTGAACCTGAAGTTGGATGTGTAGTTTTCAGGTGTCACGAAATACCATTTTCTCACTTTTGCAGCCATTAAAAATGTAAATATGCTCAGCAGGAGGGCTGTGCAGAAATAGGTGGTGACTGGAGCTCGGCTCTTATCCTTGTCTAGATGTCAATTCTGGCCCCATGGGAACCTGGAGAGAGTTTCTCAGAGTCACTGTGACCTGGTTCTTCCTCTGACTAAGGGGTAATAGGAGTGCTGGCCACCCCAGCTGTGAGGAGTTGGTGAGGCAGCTCCTGTGAAGGTACAGGGATAGCCTGGGCGCCTCTGCTCTTGCTGCGTCCCCCAATTACTGAAGGTCTCCACAGGCAGGAGCCCTGCCAGGCCCAGAAGTGATGGAGCCTCTGCTGGCTCTCTCAGGTGTTCCATGTTCTACTTTCCAGGGTCCCCTCGACACTCCTGCCCCCTAGACCCCATACCCCACAATTACTTGGAGAACGAGCATGAGCAAGAGAAAGATTAAAAGCTTAAATTTATGTTTTCTTTTCTTTGACAATTTTTTTTTTTTTAGATGGAGTCTCACTTTGTCACCCTAGCTGGAATGCAGTGGCATGATCTTGGCTCACGCAACCTCTGCCTCCCAGGTTTAAATGATTCTGCCACCCCAGTCTCCTGAAGTGCTGGGATTATAAGGGTGAGCCACAGCACCCAGCCAAAATTGTGTATGTTAAATCTGGATTATATTATAATATAGAAATGGCCCTGAGGAGGGGTCCAAGATGGCTGATTAGGAGCAGCTCTGGATTGCAGCTCCAAGCAAGAGCATGGAGGGTGAGTGGACACTGCATTTCCAGACAGATTTTTATTGCTCACAGACCAGGAGATTCCTGGGCAGAGGAGCACCCTGGGTTGCCAGCGCTGCTGTTTTGGCCGGCATGGTGTGTCTCTGCACAAAAAACTCACATGGGTCCAGGTGCCATTTCAGCTGGCGACTGGAGCACGCAGGAGACAAAGTCACGCATTCAACTGATAAAAAGGGGACTGAAACGGAGCCAGTCCAGGAGACTCCAAAGTGAAAAAGCACCATGAATCTCCAGTGTGGCTGTTTCAGTTGGCACAGTGGGTCTCCACACAGGAAATCTCACAGATCTGGGCGCCTTTTGAACAGGTGACTGGAAAAACCTGGGAGACAGAGCTGCCCATTCAACTGATAAAAAGGGGCCCGAAACAGGGAGCCAGGCCAGGAGATTCCCAGATGGAAAAGTGCCACAAGTCTCCAGCACAGCTGGTACAGTGGGTCTCTGCACAAAATCTCACAAATCCGGGTGCATTTTCAACTGGTGACTGGAACACCAGGGAGACAGAGTTGCCGCCCATTCAACTGGAAAAAAGGGGGACTGAAACGGAGCCAGGCCAGGAGATTCCTGGGCGAAAAAGTGCCATGAGCCCCCAGCATGGCTGTTTCAGCCGGCACAGCAGATCTCTGCACAAGAAATCGCACAAATCTGGGCACCATTTCAACTGGTGACTGGAATGCCTGGGAGACAGAGTCACCTGTTCAACTGAAAAACAAAAAGGGGGTCTGAGGCAGGGAGCCAGGTCATCAGGCTCAGCCAGTCCCACCCCGACAAAAACCAGCAATCGGAAACACTCTGGATTGAGAGTTTCACAGCAAGTACATCTGAACCTGGGACAGTCCAGCTCTGGGGGAGGGGCATCTGCGATTACTGGGCAGTCCACCCCTATTGAGGTGGTCTGCCATTACAGAGGCAGCCTGACATTGCTGAGGCAGTCCATCATTACAGAGAGAGTCTGCCATTACAGAGGTGGGTCACAACTGCTGAGGCAGTTCTAACTATAACCCTATAAACAGGACTGTAGGGAAATTCACACGGTAGCTGGGCAGAGCCCAGAGCAGATCAGCAACGCCTCTGCTGACAGACTGTGACTAGGCTGCCTCCTTGCTGGGCAGGACAGCCCTGAAAAAAGGCAGCAACACAACAGAAACTTACAAATAAAGCCCTACCATCCTGGGATAGAGCACCTGGAGAAAAAAAGGTGGTTATGAGTTCTGCTACAGCAGATGTAAACGTACCTGCCCAGCAGCTCTGAATGGAACAATGGAGCTCACAGCTCAGCACCTGAGCTCCTATAAAGGACAGACTGTCTCCTCAAGCAGCTCCTCAACCCCAATATATCCAAAGAGTCACCTGATAAAGGAGAGCTCGGACTGACATCTGGCAGGTATCCTTCCAGGACAAAGATAGCAGAAGAAGAAACTGGCAGCAACCCTTACTGTTCTGCAGCTGCTGCAGGTGATCCCCAGGCAAGCAGGGTCTGGAGTAGACCTCCAGCAGTCCTACAGCAGAGGGGCCTGAGTGTTAGAAGTAAAACTAAGAAATGATCAACAAACTGGATATCTGCAGGATTTATTTACCTGTGGTCTTTGTAGTTGGTGACTTTCAGAGACACAATCTGAAAGTCACCAACTACAAAGGCCACAGCTAAATAAATCCACAAAGATGGGAAGAAACCAGTGCAAAAAGGATGAAAACACCCAAAACCAGAATGCCTTTCCTCCTGCAAGGGATCACAACTCCTCATCAGCAAAGGATCAAGGCTGGATGGAGAATGAGTCTGATGAATTGACAGAAACAGGCTTCAGAAGGTGGGAAATAAGAAATCCTCTGAGCTAAAGGAACACATCCTAACCCAATGCAAAGAAACTAACAACCTTAAAAAAAGGTTTGACAAAATGCTAACGAGAATAAACAGCTTAGACAGGAAAATAAATCAATCAATGGAGCTGAAAAACAACATGAGAATGTCATGAAGCATACACACACTTTTCGCTAGCCAAATTGACCAAGCAGAAGAAAGGATATCATTTGAAGATCATCTCAATGAAATAAAACAAAAAGGCAAGATTAGAGAAACAAACAAACAAACCCTCCAGGAAATATGGGATTATGTGAAAAGACCTAATCTAGGTTTGACAAGTGTACCTGAATATGACAGAGAGAATGAATCCAAGCTGGAAAACACTCTTCAGGATATTATCCCGGAAAACTTCCCCAACCTAGCAAGGCAGGCCAATATTCAAGTCCAGGAAATATAGAGAACATGACAAAGATATTCCTCAAGAAGAGCAACCCCAAGGCACACAACCATCAGATTCACCAGGGTTGAAATGAAGGAGAAAATGCTAAGGGCAGCCAGAGGGAAAGGTCGAGTTACCCACAAAGGGAAGCCCATCATACACGGCGGATCTCCCCGCAGAAACCCTATAAGCCAGAAGAGAGTGGGGGCCAATATTAAATATCCTTAAAGAAATGAACTTTCAACCTAGAATTTCATATCCAGCCAAACTGTTTCATAAACGAAGGAGAAATAAAATCCTTTACGAACAAGCCAGTACTGAGAGATCGCACCACCACCAGGCCTGCTTTACAAGAGCTCCTGAAAGAAGCACTAAACACAGAAAGGAACAACCAGTACCAGCCACTCCAAAAACATACCAAATGGTAAAGAGCATCGACACAATGAAGAAACTGCATCAAATAACAGGCAAAACTAGCAGCTTGGCAGCAAAATGGCAGGATCAAATTCATACATAACGATATTAACCTTAAATGTAAATGAGCTAAAAGCCCCAATCAAAAGATACAGACTGGCAAACTGGATAAAAAGCCAAAACCCAATGTTGTGCTGTATCCAGGAAACCCTTCTCATATGCAAGGATACACATAGGCTCAAAATAAAGAGATGGAGGAAGATTTACCAAGCAAATGGAGGGCAAAAAGCAACAGGAGTTGCAATCCTAGTCTCTGATAAAATAGACTTTAATCCAGCAAAGATCAAAAGAGACAAAAAAGAACATTACATAATGGTAAAAGGATCAATGCAACAAGAAGAGCTAACGATCCTAAATATACATACACCCAATAGAGGAGCACCCAGATACATAAAGCAAGTTTTTAATGACTTCCAAAGAGACTTAGACTCCCACACAATAACAGTGGGAGACTTTAATGCTCCACTGTCAATATTAGACAGATTAACAAGACAGAAAATTAACAGGGATATACAGGACTAGAATTCAGACCAGGACCAAGCAAACCTAACAGACATTTACAGAACTCTCCATTCCAAATCCACAGAATATAGATTCTTCTCAGCACCACATCACACCTACTCTAAAACTGACCACATAATCAGAAGTAAATCACTCCTCAGCAAATGCAAAAGAATGGAAATCATAACAAACAGTCTCTCAGACAACAGTGCAATCAAGTTAGAACTCAGATTTCAGAAACTAACTCCGAACTGCACAACTCCATGGAAACTGAACTGGCTCTTGAATCTTGACTGGATACACAATGAAATGAAGGCAGATATAAAGATGTTCTTCAAAACCAACAAGAATGAAGACACAGCGTACCAGAATCTCTGGGACACATTTAAAGCAGTGTCTAGATGAAAATATATAGCAATAAGTGCCCATATGAGAAGCAAGGAAAGATCTAAAATTGAAAGCCTATTGTCAAAATTGAAAGAGCTAGAGGAGCAAGATCAAAAAAACTCAAAACCTAGCAGAAGAGAAGAAATAACTAAGATCAGAGCAGAACTGAAGGAGATAGACACACAAAAAACCCTTGAAAAAATCATCAGTCCAGCAGCTGGTTCTTTGAAAAG